TGTGTGTGTGTGTGTGTGTGTATTTAAGTATCATGATTGCCTTCAATCTAAAATTGCTAATCAAACTTGATATAAATAAAAATGTTTAGGGTATAATGTCCTGAAACAGTTCCTTCACAAACAAGCCTTCTTATAGTTGACTTCCTTACTTACTTATAACAAAAGGGGTTCAGCTGAGAGATCCTTGTTCCTGTGCTTCTCTATGAATTACTAATATAGTTGAAACCTTAACCTATGTGAGGGTTCTATGGTGATAGGGCTATCATTCCTTTATTTACTGTTTCTATACTGAAAGTGTCTATTATATGTAGTCTTATTTCCTCTGGATGTTATACATAATTTGCCTTTCCCACACCTAAACATATATGTGTGTGTGTGCATGTCAAATATCCTAGGCTCTGTACTCCTGCTCATGTTTGATCTCAATTTTGCCCTTGATTAGCAAGTGACATTAAAGAAGTTGCTAAATATGTCAGTGCCTCAGTTTACTATTTATAAAATCAGGTCAATTACTACCTTCGTAGGTGGTTGTAAGCATAAAATAAAACAGTGTGCTTAGAACAGTGCCTAATATGTAATCAATAAATTTGCTGATTGTTATTTTACACTTGGAAGGCACTCAGAATTGTTTGATTGAATCAAAATTTAAAGCTCTGTGTTAACAGAGTTCTAAAGACATTATTTTGTAACGTTAGGGAATCAGCTATATCAAGAAAACCTCATTGATGAAGACATTTGACATATTTATTTATCTGATTTATGGTACTTGCAATTCTGCCTTCCATGCCAGATTGATTTATGTAACCAAAGTTGAATCTGCGAATGTACTAATGGAGGAAAAAACTATGGTGAGTTTCTGTAGATTTTTGTTTGTTTGTTTGTTTTAATAGATGAAAATAAGCATGCTTTCCTTCTAGTGAGTACTGGTGAAAATCCTATATGGGAGGAGCATTTATGTGTGAAAGAGTCGGTGTTGGTAGGGTCAGTATGGTGAAGGCAGGCATGTCTGCTAGCTCAGTAGTGAAGGCAACGGATAAGGCTTCTGCAAATGCAGCTCCATTAAAAATTCAGACAGACTTAACTTTTCCTAAACTCCTTGCAAAGTGATCTGGTAACGTGAAGTTAATAGATCAGACATCCAAATCCCTATGCATATACGTAACAGGCCTTGGAATCCTACATGATACAATTCACATCACACCGAGTAAAGAGAAACTTTTCAAAACCTAAAGAAACCCACTGTAAAATATATTATCACTCTAGGTCGATTAATGCTGCTACACCAGCTTATAAATTTGGGGAACAGCCTGGAACAGTCACCTTTCCTAGCATGCCCTTGGGCAGCCATAAACAATTTAAGAGGAAAAAGAAAAAGTCAGTGAACTCTTGTGGGAAGAGAAAGTTTTTTGCTGAAGCTGTCTGAATAATGCTCATCACCTAGGTCAGTAGGAATGGATACTGCTCTGGAAGTCTCCTGAGGGTCGCTGCTGCTATGATCAGGTACTGGAGACAGCAAATTGAGTTCTGATGGGAGCAGACACTCAGAGTCAGGATGCTGAGTGGATTATTCTAACACCCATCTAATTTGTCTCATTACCCTGAAGAAGGCTGGGATTTCATTCAACATCCTCAGCATGATATATGTTTGTCTCCACCCTTCGAGGCAAGGGATTTCTTACTGTAATTTCCACTTTCTCAAATACATGGGAAACTCACCTGTTATTTCCTTAATGCTGACCCTGCTACAATTAGTTTTATTTTTCCCATTCCAGTCAGTGGACATATATACTAAATATGTGGGCATATTCAATTTGGGAGTCAAGTTCTAGACTTCATTTCAGATGACTATATAAAAACATAAGTATACACTGGCTGGTAATTTGAGTGACAGTTTCATCCTGTGTTAGTGAATATGTTTATTAAATATTAGAATTTTAGCATAATTCACAGCTATAGAGTGGGAATTTTTGTTTATTAGCATAACGGAATATTATTGATCTTTTGATAATGATAGGATTTGTATCACTAATTATCATTGCTTCCTTTAAAAAGAAAGGTATTAAAATAAGTGACAATGCATAATAAAGAAAATTAAGAAATGATATATTGCAAAATATATATGTAAAAGCAAATTGTGATTCTGAAAATGAGTGTTTAAATGCATATGTCTAAAAATCACAAAATGGTCTTCACTAGAATGAGTAGCATTTTTGTTTTCAGAGGGAAAGAGGGAAAACCTCCTTGGGCACTCATTATGTGCCAGGTTTTCTTTATACTTATATTATCTGAGCTCCACAAACTATAAAGTAGACATTAGCAGGAAGACTGTGAGGCTGGAGAAGTGAGGGAGGTACCATGCCCGTGATTCCGCAGTGGGTAAGACTACATCCAGCCTACCTGACCGGCTCCACACCTGTGCTCCTTCCAGTGCACCAAGAAAGAACCAGGTGAAGCTTAACACACATCTAGTATCTATACTTTATCTCCTCTTTAAGTTTCTCCCTTTCTCCCAGTTGAGATCCCCAATGCCTATTTTCCCAGGAACCTATAAGAAAAGTGCAAAGAGACCTGAGAGATTGGCACCAGTGATATGTTGAAGCAAGTGACTTTGGGGGATCTCTCAAATCCTACCAAATAAATAGCTACTTCCCAGGCCTCTACCTAAAGTCAACCTTCCAACACTGAAGAAGTTGAGCTCTTGAAACAAAGTGAACCACAAAATGCAAATGAAAAAGAACAAGTGATCTTCTTAACTTTTCTCCAAACTGGCAATACGTAATTCAGCCAGATAGCGTCAACTCTTATCAGAGAGCTACCATCACTGTTGGAGCTATATATGCCTTAATGACTAAGCTTCCTGGATATTTAGAGATTGAGAAAAACCAGACGTCATAATTCATAAAAGCAGAAGATGCTGATGGTGAAGATCATCAAAATAGGGCAAGAAAACTCAAGTCCTACACACCATTGGCTGCAATGTGCTTTCAACTCCAGACCCCTACGTGCCACAGAATGATTGAGACAGGTAGCTTTAGTGACCATCTATTTTTATTTCATCTATCTAACACCTCTAAATAACAACCATTATCAAATAGCTATGTGTGCATCTATGACACACCAGAAAGAAATGAATTAAACAGCAAAGTAACGATCAAATAATAATGAATGCAGAGTTTAAGTTTACTAACACCATAGATCATCTGTTGAGATAACTGTAAGTATATTTTTTAGAATCTTTTAAAATTATTAAAAGCTTTATGTAAAAGTGTTTAATGTAGATAAGTACGAACAATAGAAAACATCCCTATTGACAAATATACCTATGCAAGAAAATGAAGCCTGAAAACGTCAAACTATCAGCAAATAGATGCAACAGGGTGCAGAAGTCAGGAAAATATTATATGTGACCTGTAACAGTGACTCGCTCTAACCATCCGAGGACCTTAATCGCTGTCAACATGTACTTATCTCTGCTTAGCTAGAATCTCAACCTGCCTTCTGGTTATAACAAAAACTATTCAATTACAACATCAAATTTGTCTAAAAATCAGAATGTTTATCAAGTGGAAATTTAAATCACAAAAACATCTGCTATTTTCCCCCCAAGTCTCTCCCACCACTACCATTGGCATAATGTAAGTTTCTAGCACCCTCTTGTGGTTCCATTGCAGCAGTTTCATAGGCATTTGAAATCAGTTGTCTGAAACTGAAAACACTGGAACTGACTATATTTCGACATGGAAGTTTTGCTGGCATCATAAACCCAGAAAGGAAACCTCAAGTCAGCAAAAATGGAAAACGAATGTGCAGGTTCTATTCTTAACTTCTTTGCTATCTATTGTTCATTTTATGTGATCACTAGGAAGAGTGACTTAGAAGCAAAATAGGAGTTGCCAGTTCTCAAAACCAAGCAGTGGTTGTGGGCAATTGTTGAATAGGTGAAAAAGAACCTCATTTTGCTCAAAAAGAAAAGCAAGTATTTTTTAGTGCCCAGTTTGTATGCATCTTGTTTAAGTAAACACAGCAACTCCAATACATGTTGCAGTTGCTAAATAGTTGGGAAATCAAGGCGTTGAGATCTTCCACTGTCCTCATGCACATTTTTAGTGATTCATTTTCCTACATTTTCTCAATCATTGAAAGCAATTTACATAGGCAAAATTTTTTTTCCTCTCTAAACACAAGCTTGCTGGTGGGCTTCTTTCCAATGCAATGTGTTTCAGAGCTCTCTTAAAGGGGAGAAGATGAAGAGAATTATACTGTGTTCCTTAAATTGATAATAAATACTCCGCTTATCAAAAATACATTTTTAAGACCTATCTATGATTTCATAAACTCAAACAAATGGTCTTTCTTCATAAAATAAAAAATATTTTAAAGCAGTGATATTATTGAAATATTCCAAAATTTTAAAAATAATTGGCCATAAAGGAGGTAAAAAATCTAAATTAGTAAGAGGTAAAGAGCCTGTTAATAGAAACTGGAATGTGGCTTATTTGTAGGCTGAAATGGAAGTCCCACTGTTAAAAATATCAGTAAAATGCAAGAGGAACACCTTTGCTCCTCAATATATAGCAATGTGTAGGTTGATGTTAAAAGACAAATATGGTCTTTAGAATTCAGAAAATATATAGAAAACAGGAATATTATTCTATTAATTATTCAAATTTAAACCTAGGTAATGTTTAGTAGTTAAATAGCACATGATATCATAAATGTACATTGATTTTCATAAATTCAAGAGACCTAATAAAAACATCATTATGCTTGACAGCAAGGATGGGGTAGAAGATAGTTCAAATATTAAAAGGTACCTTCTAATAGGTAAACATCTGAAAACTGCCATTTCTCCTGGCTATGGCTGCTGTTTTTCAACCTTGGCACTATTTACCTTGTTGAAGCATAATTTTGGCCAAATGCTTAAGGGGAGGAAGAAGACTATTCAAAAATTGCACAGCAGCAGCAGATACCTGGAACGAACCAGAGCCATGCTGCCTTACCTGTTAAGCCCTTTTAGTGTCTTTTCCATGTTTAAAATGTCACGCATCTTATACAAAAACCACTTGTCAATGGATGTAAGCTTCATAACCTCATCAAGGGGCATGTTGTCTTCCAAAGCCTGCCAAAAGGAGAAGAGATATATTTTTTGGCAAACATTTTATAAATATCTTATTTGGTTGAAAACATAGAGCAGCCATCCCCTCTCCTTGTTACTCAGAGAGCCTGAGGCTATAGACTGAGACATCAAACATGAAACCGATATCATATCATTGATGTTGCTCCCAATACGCCTACAGATACTGCCAACTATTTCCACAATGACATACAAAGGAGGTGCTCTGAATTAATCAGAGTGGTGTGTGCTCAGAAGGAAACCCCTAACAGGCTCTGCCTCCTGCTCTTAATATGACTATATTACCAATTATATACTAAATTTGGAATTAAAGGGAATCTCTTGAAACTACAGTTAAGCCAAATTAGTAAGAAAACCTAGAATTGTCATAATGATCATTTGACTTGTATTTTGGATAATTACCCTGTAGCAAATAGCATACATTTAACACCTCATTCCACATGCACGCAAACTAGTCAGTGAGAATGTATGGGTCAAATCCAGCCTGATATTATTTCTCTAGAATATACCCTCACAGAGGACTTCAAACAAAAAATTATTTTGAATCAGTTACTTTTACTTTTGCACTAAGACAGGCATTTTACAAAATCTTAATATATTTCAAAGCAGTGTAGTAATAACTCCAGTTCTGATAGGCAGCTCAGCCTTTCTCTGAAGAGAAATTAAGTCATTTCCCAAAAGAAAAATTACAATTATGGGTCATTGGGCTAAGCAGAAAAGGCAACTGAATAAAAAGATAAACTCTCAAAATCAAAACTTTCACATTCAAAAGATGTCTACTCTTATTTTTAACTAATTATATATATATATTTATACCCAATAAAAAATAACCAGATAATATTCCAGAACAAAATATTTTAGAATGGCACACTATATTTTTAAATCTCATTGAGAGATATATGTAACCAGCAACTCTGTTATGTTTTAACCCCGGGAGCTTAATTTTCTTAAAACTTTTACTTATTTCTAGTACCAGAGAGACCATAATTCTAAGTGTTGAGACATCGCAGAGTTCATAATTCCTTTGACTGGAATAAGATGGCATCTAATGGGAACACTCAAAGGCATGTTCATTTCATAAGTGTAATTCTCCTGTAATTACAGCCGGATTCCCAAGGACTTGCTATTTGGTCTTATTTTCCAAGTGATTAAAGCATAATTAGCTGTTGGCCATCAGCACCATGAGGCAGATAGAGCCTGAAACTGGCACACTTTTGACAGACCAGAGGAAGTTTGCACACAATGGCCCAGCGGCAGCCACCCTGCGAGGGACGCAGGACCTAGAATCCTGCAGTCATGTCGCTGTGAGGAAGGACAAATACAGTCACACCTGCAGTTTTGCACAGGGCGCAGGATCCCGTCCGTCCTGGGCCTTCATCTTCAAGCTCAGCTATAAAGAAGTTCACACTGACCCCAAACAAACTCGAGGTGACTCTAGCGCTCCCCGAGTCAAAAATAATGCCCTGTGTTCTCCCCAAATCAAAATAGGTGACGATCCAGTCATCCTGAAATAAGAGTGCTGCAAAAATCAGACCTCGGAGCAAGTTGCCCTTTTCTAAGAATCGTGAAAGCGGGGAAGATTTACACGCTCCCTTCACTCTTTGCCCCTTCGGCCCTCCCCGATTCCTACGCTCTCTGTCAAAATTGCCCAGCCTGGCTGCTGGGAAACGAGCAGCAGTGAGGCCTCTAACCAACAGAAACAGCTCCTTCTCCGGCACTCTGGCGCACAGTAATTTATACCTCAGGCCCCGCACGTTTTGCTCGAACATAGGGTACTCTGTGCCAGAAAGAAGCTCCGCACATTTCCCCCTGAATTCTCATCTCTTATAGGTCTGTTAGAAAAAAATGTGAGGTTTGCCTGAGTTTTACAGCCTCACTGGGAACTTGGAAACACTTCTCTTTTGCATCTGCCTCAAAATGGCAGAAGCTTGATAACTAGACTTAAGAAAAAGTATCCATTTACTGCCCTTTGTCTGGAAAAATTATATGTATATAGAAATACAGATGCACATGTGAATGTGGTAGACTGCTTTTTAAACAAAAGACTAAAGTAAAAACAATAAAGAAGATGAAACGGTTTCCTAGAGTTAACCTCTCATTATTACTATCACCTCCACCACCACAGAAAAATGTGCAATTACCTTGAAATTCAACATTGAGAAATGTTCATCAAAAAGGTACTAGTATCTCCCAGAATTTCAATGGGAGTTAAATATTCAGCATTTAGAACACCACAAAGGTGAGAAGAGTATACATTACATGCAATGAAGGAAACACTCCCTTCTCTCCTTCCCTCTCTGCGGGTCTCTCAACAGAGGGACAGAAAAACTGCAGTGAGTTCAGAATCACTAACAGTGTTTTGCTGTTGCAACGATGACAAATTGCAAAAATGCATTCCCTTTTTAAAGGCAAAATTTGTATTTTCATCGCCTCATCCCTTATGCACACACGCACACACAGGATGGTCGGCAGGGCTTTGTAGCTCCGGTGGGGTTGACACTGTTGGAGGATTACTGCCTAAGCTTCCTTAAATGTCAGAAAGCCATGGAAGGATTTCTGACCAGGCGGAGCCCAGCTGCCCAAGTCACCTTTGATAAAATCAGATAAGCTCAAACTTCAAAACTCTAAGCGTAGTAAACACGAAAGGAGATTAATATGGCATTTCATTTGCATACAAGAGAACTAGGGAGTGGAAGCGAGAAGTGTGGGGCTTTTTTGTCCTGAAAGTAAGACCAATGAAATAATCACACAGAGAAAAGCCTGTAATCATGGAAGTTCTTTAGAGTTTGTTGTTGTTTAAACACAGAAAAAGAAGCAAATAAATAAAGAGTATTCTAGAGTCCTGAGTAGCCCATAATAAGGGATACTATTTTATACACCTTATTTTCTAAAATATAATTTTATACATTTTCAAGGAACAAACAATGAGAGTGATAGGAAATGACAAATCAGTATTACCAAATCTACTTAAGAGTATTGATACTATATACACTAAAAGGGAGGAACATTTTATTTATGTGATCATCTCTTAAAACTGCAATCTGTCTTTAAACCTAGGCTTAAAGTCAAATAAAACGGGTAATATTTTATTTATTATAGAATTATGTGATGAAATCCGTAGAAGTCTGTGATTTATGATTTGAATTTGTCTTCCTGGTATCTTTTTTGGAGGAGATGGGCGTTGGTTGCTACAGGATTTAGATTACACCTAGAAGTCTCTAATTTAATACTATTAGAAAGAATTAAAAATTTTACCAAAATCCCTGAATTCAACATTGCTTTGTGATTTAGTTTTACTTTAATGTTCAGTCTGTCTATTTTCTGAAAAAATAGTGGCTCTGGGCCCTTTGTCATATATTACCTTGGCGATGGCATAGATGCGGGTACTGGACGGGTCAGACAGCTCTCTTTTGAGATCCAGGTTGGATGGCCAGTCTTTGTTCATTGGGAGACGGGAAGTGAAACCATCTATAGACGGGTGGCACATCCGTAAGGCTTTCTGGAAACTCTCCTCAAAGGTGCGACCAATAGCCATGACCTGTGATACACATTCAAGAGCTCATTATTTAAAGAAAGTTTATTTGTTTCTAATTTGTAACAGAACTAGAAAAGCAATATTTTTGAGAAAAGACTTAGGAATAAAACACATATCAGAACACTACTTAAATTTAGGTTCTATTTTTCTTCTTCTCTCCTTTTCTCCATGGTTTTGATATAAAGTCTTCAACACTAGGTCAGTCTTTTACCACTGAGAGAATTTGGCTGAGACTGATGAGGAAATCACCTGTACCTGCTCCGGACCATAGGATTAAAATAAGGAATCTGTGTCCAGAACATACAGGCCCTTCCTTAGTAAGATCTTGCTTTTGTGCAGATGTCTTTTAGATAGAAAGCAAATGGAGAGAAAGCAGGCATGCATTAACACATAAACAGAACTATTTCTAAACAGGTATCAGTCAGTATCCAAGACAGGTTGGGTTTCTTTATAGCTAAGAATTAATACTAACAGAACCTGGAAAGTTATAACAAATACTGACAGATTCAGATTTTGAGAGTAGGTGGAGATTACATTTTCCACGACAAATTCAATGTGTCTTCCCGCAATCTTTACAGCTGATTGTGCACAAATCAATTAGAAAAACAATGTGGTGATTTAGTTTGAGCAAGTTACAAGTCAGAACTAAACTTAAATTGACTTTGAAGCCTACCCAGTTATTTTCAGTGGATAAACACTGTCTTTGAAACCTTCTTTGGAGTAATAGATTGCTATGCATTTTTGGTCGCCAATTTAAAATAATAACAGTCATAATGCTGCCATCAGTAAACTTCCATGATTCCTCAAACAGACCTGAATTCCAATGAATATCAGTTTTGTAAATCTTCATGTCAATTGTGTGACAAGATACATATTCAAAGATCACTAAAGCAAAACGGATAACCTTTTCACACTGCTCCAAATTTAATTAGAAATAAGGGAAGAGTCTCAAGAGCCAGAATAAATAGAATCCTAGTCCAATTCAGATATGCAATTTGCAAGGCATAGTGGTATTTGATGAGTTAGACAATATGTTCATAGATTTGCTCACCTAAGCATGGGAGAGATTGCCAGATATAAGATGCTTTATGGTACTGCCAAATTAAGAAAATATGTTTGAAGTATTTAATAAAATTTGTAAGTATTACATATTTAAGTGTTGGCCCTCTGAAGTAATTAGTTCTATAAGCGACTCACTGTAATTTTTAATGTTATTTAAGTACACTGTACATGATGGAACATGGAACAAATGCAATAAAAGAGAAGCAAACTTACCTACATATTAATACAGGAGTATATAACTGTGTTTGCTCAAAAGCTGTGCTCTTTAATACTTTAAATCATTGAAATTCATATTCATTAAGTGAAAATTTCACCATTTTCAGTGGAATAACTATCTTGGCTTTCCCTTATCATAATCTACTCTATTCTAACAGCACCTGTACGTAAAGACTGTGTTTTAATGTCTACACAGTTGAATTCATATGATATTTGGTCCAGTTTATATAGTCTGAACTTACCAACTGCAGATAATGTGTCACAATTATCACCTTACCCACTGCTTTTTCCTCCTAGTGCCTGCACGTAGTAAGGCCTCGGGAAGTGTTTGCTAACTTGAGCTCAACCAGATGTTAAAATTCACTGACAACAAAAATCCCTCAGATAATAAGCCCTAACTGAAAACATTACAAAGTCATTTCATATTCTTTGCCCTACAAACTTTCTAAACATTATGAAAAGGGACACTTCGCACAAAATGGAAACTAAATAACAGGTAGTGGTTGTTTTTTGGCAAAAAAAAAACTACCAATAAAACTTTTCATGGCATTTGAGGTCAATTCAATTGTGTAGCTTGAAGCCTCATAGAAAAAAATAAGATTTAAAACAACTAAGAAGGAAGAAAAAGTACTACTTGTCTTTTACAACTACTAAGACATTTTTGTTTAAAAGGTCAAGTTGTTCCTTATCTGTTATTACTTTAAAGCCTTCCATTAGTATCCTGGAAACTGAGGAAACCAAAACAGTAATAGTTCTGCCTTCCACATGTGAACATGATGGATCAGTAAAAAGTCATTTTTTTCTATTCCCCTGCATGGGTGATGGATTTAAGCTGCATTTCCTGTGATTAGTGGCGTGCATTTCTAAAATGATTAGTCCGAGTTTAGACTATAATCTGTGTCATGGGAAAAATTAAGACCAGTATGGAACAGTAGGTCACAAATAGTTTTTTGTTCTGTAATCTAACTGTCTTAAATTCCTAGACATACACTAAGAGCTCCTCCACTGACCATAAAGAGGTAGAGATGAGATAAAGTGAAACACAGACAGATATAGATAGATTTTGTGCTGTGAATCTACTGCTGGTATTCAAAAATTCTACCCATAAACAATGACAATAATACTGATGCAGTACATTTATTGGAAATGCGCTGAGAATCTACCTTAAAAGTTATTACTAAACATTTACATGTATTAATTCTAAACCTTATAAGAACCCCACAAAGAATTATCATCTCCCATTTTTCAGGTGGAGAACCTGAGGCTCAGTGTTTTGCATGAGTGTCTCTAGCTAGTAAGTGGTAAGACCAAGAGTAAAACCCAAGTTCATCTGGTTCCAAGGCTCATGTTCTCTCTACTATGCCAAGCCTCCTGGATGCAAACAGAAATAAACCCCTTGGTGGGAGTTGCAAGAGAGTGAATCTCAGAGGTAGAGATCTGAATTCCTTTGTTTCCTGCACAAGGAGAACTGCTTCTCTGAAGATGGAATAATCAAAAGCTAAATTTAATTTAAAATTTAAAATAGAACATTATGTAAAATTGAAAGATGCTAAAAGCTTAGAACATTTCAGTACAATAAAAGGGGCTTAATATTCCACTGTGCTTGTCTCAGTTTAGAATTTTAGAGCTGGAAGAGCCATGAGAGATCTTCCACTCTGGCTTCTTTCTTTCACAGATGTGGAAAGTGAAGACCACAGAGATGATAGCCACAATTTACATGGACTAAAGATGAATTCTTAACCACAGTTCTGTGGTCTTTTTGGTACACCATGTTACCTTTTACGTAATATTATTTTCTTGATTTGGTTATAAAATATATAATTTAGTTATATAAATATAAATATGTGTTTTCACACATGTGTATTTATGATATACCTACATACATGGTCTCTCCTTTTGAATGCTCTTAGAATACTAGAATCCTTAGATGCCCTTAGAATTCATTAAATGGGCATGTAACAAGTGCCTTATTTAACAGTCTAACAGAGAGAGAGTGAAATACTAGGGAAGAACTGAAATTCTTATATATCCTTCAATTAATAACCCAGTACCCAGGCAACCTTAGAACTTTCAGTGATGTTAAAAATTAGACAAAGTAACTGAGAAACAAAGATGAAACAAAGAAATAAACCAAGGACTCACCTCTCCTACACTCTTCATAGAGCTACCAATTCGGCTAGATGTTCCATGGAAACGATCAAGATCCCAGCGAGGAATCTTAGTCACCATGTAATCCAGGCTAGGTTCAAAGCAGGCTGATGTCTTCCCTGATACAACATTCTTGATTTCTGGAAGTGGGATTCCTAGGGCAATCTTTGCAGCAATAAATGCCAATGGGTAGCTATAAAGGAAGAGACAATTTTATTTTTTTTCTTTTGGCAATAAGTATTAAAAACAGCCCAAAACATAAATTGGTCTTCTTAGAAATTTTGATATTATGCCACATCAGTGTATAAAACACATGTGATTCTCCATTCAGGATGAATATTTAATAGCCACTGATAAAATGTGAGTCATGATACAGAGGCACAGATCCCAAAAGAATTCATTCTCTGACACATAGTGCTATACAGCTCCCAACCTTCACCTCTTCAATCCAAAATCAGTAGCTTCCTTGATAAATAAAGTGCTCACTTGTATAAAACTCCAAAATATATACATATCTGCACCTGAGAAGACAGTGGAGTTACCTGATACTATGGGGTATGTAATAGTCTGAAAATGTAGGCATTGCAAGTTTGAGTCCTTGCTCTATCTCCAAATTATCTTTGAACTTTGGGTTTCCTACAACGCTATCACTCTGGAAACTAGACTATCTTCCTCTGGAATGTCAGTTTTGGTAACTGTATTTCAGAAAATAATTCACAGAACTATAGAATTACTTATGATTTGTTCAGTACAATTCTACCGTCTAACAGGCAAAGAGATTTATAGAGACAATAAGTGATGTGTCCAAAGTCTCACAATCAGTAGAATAATCAGAAAGAGACCTTGGGTCTCCTGACTTTTATCTAGGGCAACATGCCTTCCACCAGTCCATACAATACTGTGTAGCTACATAAAATATTCTTTAGAGGTAAATATTTTGTTCACTTAAATGCAACTTAAATGCCAGATGCTAAATAGAACAAAAGGTATTAATTAATTTTCCTTCCAATTATGTCTGCCAGCAGTTGTTAAATGTATAGCAAATTTATTTGGTGGCAACATTTACCTATAGAAAACCCTTAAATTGTTTGGTCTTATGGAGTTTTGCTAAAATAAAATAATGTCTATTGCATGCTTGAGTCAAGTGAACTATATTATTTGCGTACCATTTGCTACACCTGAAAAAGTGAGTTGAGAACTAAAATTAAGGATTAATTTGCACTTTTTAACAACATCTGCAAAGTGTAATTAAGAAGCAGATTTTTCTCAACCTGCTTTGCCCACCCAGATTTTTATTAGTTTATGATTAGCCAGCAAACAAAGCCAGCTAGCAATACCATTTGCCTCAATCTGGCAGCAAGCTCATTAATAACCATGTCCTTAGGGTCCTAAATGATTTGGAGCCAGCAAACAGAAATGGGGAGTATAGTTTGTAAATGTAGCAGAGTCTTCACTAGCTGTCAGCTTTCCAGTTCCCTCTATGAAGAATCCGCAACCCCATCGCCGAGCATGCTGGTCTTACCCAGTGGCCTTCGAGGCCAGGGCAGAGCTCCGGGACAGCCTGGCATTCACTTCAATGATGCAGTATTCCATTGAGGTGGGATGAAGGGCAAACTGAATGTTGCATTCGCCCACGATGCCCAAGTGGCGAACCACGTTGACGGAAGTGCGTCTCAACATCTGAAACTCCGCGTTGGAGAGCGTCTGGGCGGGGGCCACAACAACGGAATCACCTGCACATCCAAGCAGCACTCGTTAATTTATGTGTGTGCTACACGCCATAGGAGTTATCTTATGGAAACACATACAAGGCACATCGGGTATTATTTCCTTGGATTCTTATTCTACCTGTATTATTCTGACATTTACAGAAACCCTTCTAACCTTTCCCAGGCTCATGTAGCTGTGAAGGCTTCAGTCATCCACTTACTGGATTGACCTTAACTTCTTCAATTCCCCTTTTCTTCATCTCGAATGATCTCTCTCTCAAGTTCTTTTTCCCTTCAAATATCATCTCCTCTTCCCTCGGACTGGCTCGTCCACTGTTCTACAGCTCACCCCTTCCTACTGTCTTACTCCCCTTCCATTGTATCTTTCATCTCTTGGTCCTTAGTCACCACCCCATGTGCAGGCAAACACGTCAGATGTCTGCAAGCTCAAGAAGCACCCCCCAACATTGTTAGATAATCCCAAGAACAACGTCTCAATCTTTACATGACTAAACTTGAAGCCTTGCCAGTTCTGCTTACCCTTCATTGCCGTGTAACTCCATTCAGTATGGCTCACGTAACCAATTTGGCACTGAAACTGTCCTCTTGAACACCCAAAGCCATATTTACACCTCATCTGTGACCTCTGACAGCCATCAATACAGCCAGAGCCAAAGCTCTTTTATGAAATGTTTTCTTACGTTGGCTTACTTGGCACTGTACCCCCTGCTTTGCTTCCCATCATTGCCCCCCCTTTTTATTCAAAACTAACTCTTCCTCTTTTTCCTGCCTGTAAAACCTAGATGTTTCCCAAGGCCATGTCCTTGATCCGATTCTCTTCCTTCCTTTGCCTCTGCCTTTGAATACTCAGTAAATGCTTCCGGGTCCAATTATTGCCCTCGTACCCGTGAATTCCAACACCTTTGTATCAGCTTCTTCATTTCTACCCCGTTCTTGAATTCTAATTCCATATTCTTAACCCTCTTCTTGTGAGTTTCACCCACACCTCAAGTCTAGCATTTCTAAATCATAAGACATCTTCTGTGCCCTCTAAGTCTAACTAGTTTCCTTTCCTGAGAGACCTGTTTCTGTTACTTGTGGCTATTTTCTCATTCACTAGGCGACAAACAGCCCAGCCTGCTTTAAGTCTTCTTAACCTCATTCCTTACTTCTCAACACCAAGCCATGGGTTTCACCTTCACTATATTGCTTATATTTGACACCTTCCCCAGGTGAAATCAGGATAATAATTCCTCCCTTACTTCAAAGGATTTTTTGTGACAATCAAATTAAATGTGAGAGTATTTTCAATACTGCAAAGTACTACAGTTTATACTAGACTCTCAGCTAAGAATGCTAATTTAAAGAAAAGAACCTAATAAAGACTGCTATGGGCTATCATAGCCATGAGCTGAAGGCATTACAATAATTCCTGAAGATTCTTTGCCTACCTGTATGAACGCCCATGGCATCAACATTCTCCATGTTACACACAGTGACACAATTGTCATCAGCATCTCGGACCACTTCATATTCTATTTCTTTCCAACCTGTCACTGACCTCTCCACCAGGATCTGGTTGGTCATAGCAAAGGCCTAAAAATCAGCAACAAAAGATATCAAAGAGTAAGAAAAGGCACTTGTTTAAACACGAATACTTGGCAAAATGAGCTGGCCTAAATTCTGGCCAGCACGGATGTCTCAAGTCTAGTCTCCAACCTCCCCTACCCTCTAGAAGGCACAATGTGTCAGAAAATCAGCGAGGTACTAGGAATAGCATCCTGCAGTGAATATGCTTGATTTACATTATTGAGGCTTGCCATTCAAAGTGCTGATATGACATTAAATCAAACTAATTTAGGAAAAAGAGAAAATAATTGAGCAATCAGGCAGAGGGAAATGAAATTATTTCGGCAGCTAGCTTCTGTGAAACCAGAAAATGTGATAAGTGTGAATAAATATAGAAACATAAATCTAAAGACTCTGGCTTTCTCCAAAATAGCTGAGGGCGCTTCATACAGTAACATACACAATAAAAGTCAGTTGATGCTGATGAGGAGAAGAAAGGAGATGATGATGGTTGTAAACAGTTAGCCAAGATGGCATATGAGACTTGGGAATTAGAAGAATCATATGCAACTATTATTATGGTTAATCACGGCCTAAGTGCTTAAGTACTCTGAGTCATATATCATGTATGCCTGATTAAACAGGAAGGAATCAGTACAACCATCATTTCATATTTACTGAGTACCCACAGGTAGGTAGAATTGAACTCAAAATATGAAAGAGGCAGCCTCTGACCTCAGGACATTTAGTGGCTGAAATCCAACACAGAAATGTCCTTTGTCTTTTAATATAGTTGATTTATGATGGCCGTGAAAAGAAGAGAAAGCAACTGGGGAAAGTAAATTTTTTCAAGTTATTAGCAGGCAGTAAAATGAAATAACTCAATGTAAGTTTGTCTGTAACGTGTCTCAACCCTGTTTTTTTAACCTCAGTCAACACCACAGGCTCCAGCATGTGCAGTTGAAAATGGAGCACACTAGTCCCCACAGCTGCCCATGATGAGGTTTTCAAAGCGGTTAGAAAAGTCCGTAGCCAGTGTTAACAATTTAATAATACTCAATTTGTTGTTAGAATTGCCTGCTAAAAGAAGACATCTGGGAGACAAAGGGTATGAATTTGGGAAAGCTTTTTGGATCCTAATGAAGTGGACTGAATATTTGGGCACAAGGGCAGCGGACATCTTCACTCGTTGCCTCAACTTCTTTTTTTTCTTTCAAATCTCAGATTTTATACAAAATATTGGCTTAGGGACCCAAGTGAGCTAATGCAGTTTCTTATGATGCTAAATACAACCACAAGAAAATAGGGAGAATTTAGGATATAATGATAAGTAATTATTTTCAAGAGAAAAGCTAGGTTTTCGGCAAAGTAACCCATTCAATGGCCTGTTGATTATTTTAGAGGAATATAAATAATTAAAAATTATCCTACTCCAAAATTGTCTTCATTAGTAAACGTTTTTAGACAATTCAGTATTCAGGATGTTTTTATATTGTAAAAAGTGTATATTTTTAATAGAGAATAAATACACATTGTCACTACTGGCATCAATAATGAGATTGCTAATATTTAAAACATTGGGAATATCTAATATGCTAAAGGGGAAAAAGCTTATATCTCTATAAACATGATTTTTCTTTAAATACATGATTCAGAAGTCTAGAATGGAAACAAGAAACATTTATAGTAGATATGTTTCCCTTCCTTTGGTTCATTTTGGCAACTTTAGAAAATCTAAATCTAAATTGTTGATATATAAGCTTGTCATTATAATTATTTGAGTAAATTTAATTTAATTAATTTTTTTCTCAAAATCATTTGTCAACAATCGAAGGGCCTCATTTCGTTTTACTCCAAAAGTAAGTAATGATAAAGCTATAAGCTGTGCTTGGGCTCTTTACTCAGCTCTCCCCAAAATAACCCTCACAAAGATGCTCTCGCATGACTACCATGCAAATTACATGGGCCTCTTGGCTGCACATTCATTCAACAAACCCCCGGGATTAGCAGGCACTGTTCTGTTCTGTGGGAATAGAGTGTGGGCAAAACTCTCTGTTTTCATAAACCATGTATTCTGTGTTCATCTCTAAATTTATTTTTTAGAACATATCTTAATTTTTCCAGATTTTTCCCTTTAATACTTAAGAAAAGACATATTCAGTAATATGTTAAAGTGATTTTGATAGAAATAAATTATAAACACATCTCACTTTTGCTTATTTGTGTGTGTTAGTTGGCAGAGAGCTCATTTGTTTATGTTATTAAGAGGTGTTTATACTATATACATTTTATAAATATATATATTTACATTATATATATTAAATACTTGAGGTTGAGGTAAAGTTAAATTAAATGTGTTTTGTGTCACTTACTGGATGTCATTCATGTCATATTATTTTTTTAAAAATTTAAAAATTGAACATTATATTCTAGTTTTTAACCACTAAGATATATTTTAGCATTATAGATGTTTTGGAATAGAGTTTTAAACAGAGGGAGGTAGAATTGGATGGACTTCATAGCACTGAAATCCAAAGACAGGACAATAAAGATTGACATTTGGGGAGAGTCATTACCAGTTTACCTAGGACTATCTGGCTTACCACTGGGTTCCAGTATAGATAATTGCACTGCATTTTCTTTTCAAAGGCGTCTTTTTTTGGACAACGCTTTTAGAGAACATGACAGTGATCTAACAATTAGAGAAAAGATTATTTTCGTCTGCATAACTTTCTCTAATTGAAAGGGTACATCAAGTCAGTTTCTTGGTTGCCAAGAATTACGTCTACGAACATACACACCTTTGTGCTGAGGTCCACTAAGGTCTCCTTATTTGGACAGATGCCTGAGCCTAACCCACCCAGGGCATAGGCAGAACGGATCATCACTGGGTAGCCAATGGAGTCTGCTGCCTTCAGCGCATCCTCAATCTGTCAACAAGAACAAGTTTAAAAGCTGACCACACTAGCAGAAAACATTGTACCAAGGGAGTCTGGCAATCCAGGTAGATCTATGGAAATGTTCTCTTATCCTCTCATCTTCTGAAAAACAATTGTTGTTCTACAAACTTTAAGTAAAATCCTAGGATTATTTCAATATACATCAAAGGCTCTTTTTTATTTATTTGTGATAAACATTTTTTTTGCATGTAAAAAAAAATAAAACTGGCCACTGTAGAACTGCAATAGTCATCATTAATTTAAGAATGGAAGCCATATTAAATTTTTAATTCAGTTTAAAAAGCTTCATCTTTTAATGAAACAAGGCTTTCTACTGCTGAAACTAACTTGGCATTACTGCAACAATCCATGAGGAATATTATATAGAGAAATTTTTCATTTTTCAAGTTCAGTCAGAGAGAAGTCCCACAAGCTTGGAATTTTTTTTTTTTTTTTTAACTTACAAAATACAACACATGGTGGCTATATTTTTCTGTCATGGAATATTATTACACTACCAATGGGAATGTAATTACACCTTTCCCATATGCCTGTTTCTCATCCTGGGGAAGCAAGGACATAATTAAATCTGGCAATGAAAGAATAAATGGATGGCAGGAGCTTTCCAAATGGTCAGCAGAGCTACCCTGGGATTACTCCTGATTGACAGCTTTGTAACATAGTACGTACTTGACAGCATTCTTTTCAGAAACATACACAGCCCATTTTTAGTTGGCCTGAAGTACAAAATAATCTGTCTTCTTTCAACATCTAAGCCACAGGTTTCTCAGCTGTAAACCTTACGATTAGATCCAATGGCTTTTTATCTTGATAATCTCATTTTTAAATGTTTATCCACTTTAATAAGAACATTTAAATCCAGTGATTTCCCATTTGCAGGTCATCTGCACATACAAGATGTGTGACTGATCTTGGGAAGGAGGTAAAAATTACTTTGGCATTGCAAGTTAGTATGGTTCTTAGTTTTAATTCAAAAGATTTGGGATTCAGTGGCTATGCTTCTCTCTTCATAAAATAAAATATTAATACTTAACCCTAAAATTTGAGCAATGAATGCTGTAATTAATACACAATATCTCTGAGGTACTAACATCTCTCTGGAAGAACATATATGCAAGTATAATAATTGTAACTATCATTTTTAGGCATGACAAACCACTCTCCCTACAACCAAAACAAATAATCACCTTGTTTCTCCAGAACAAAGGTTTCTTACCGATTCCACTGCAAAGCTTGGGGCAATCTTTTCATTAATCTCGTTTAGTTTGTCTGAGAACAGTTGCCTGTCTTCTGTGGCCATAATAGATTCAACTGAGGTCCCCAGGACTTTCACGCCATACTCCTTGAGCACACCTCTTTTGAATAGTTCCACTCCTGTAGAAGAACCAAATATAATCAGTTTTTTAAAATTTTAAACTCTTATGTCTTCTTTAATATCTTTTTCTTAATCTTAAAATTAACTCCAAGAAGCTAGTCACCACAGTCCAAAACAGAATTATACTTAGGGTAAAAAATCTATTTATTTATTTTTAATCCTTACCCAAGGATATTTTTTCCATTGCTTTTCAGAGAGAAAGGAACATTGATGTGAGAGAGACATATTAATTGGTTACCTCCCACTTAAGCCCCCAACTGGGGCCAAGGATCGAGGCTGCAACTGAGGCATGTGCCCCTGGACAGAACTGAAACAGGGACCCTTCAGTCCTTGGGCCGACGCTCCAACCACTGAGCCAAACCGGCCAGGGCATGAATTAAAAATTCTGAAGACATTCTAACAAAATATTTTTGTTGATGTGACTGTTACTTATATTACCACCTTCTCGAAGTGATTTTTATTTATTTATGTATTTATTTTAAATACATCTTTATTGATTTCAGAGAGAGAGAGAGAGAAACATCAATGATGAGAGTCATTGATCGGCTGCCTTCTGCACGCCCCCAACTAGGGATTGAGCCCACAGCCCGGGCATGTGCCCTGACTGGGAATCAAACTGTGATCTCCTAGATCCCAGATCAATGCTCAACTGCTGAGCTAAGCCTGGCCAGGCTTCAAGTGATTTTTATTACTGTCATTAGTAAAAATCATAGGATTGCAGTGAGCCTTAAGATTTAGTATATTTCCTTCCCTTCTAAGGTCCATACTTATAATGAGGTTCTTTTATTTAAATAATCCCAGTGACGGGGCTATGTATCTGGATTAAAAATCATCAAAATTGTTTGTGTTTTTACTCACTTGCTAGCTAACTTTAGCTAAGTGTTTTGTATTTGTCATACAAATTACATCATCAGCTCCTCACCCCAACTAGCTAGCGATATTCTTATTCACAATCTAGTTCCAAAGGCTTAAAGGTTTTTAAAGAGGACCGAGAACTGGACTCAGCAGACAAGTGAAGGGATGGTAAAGAGACTGATCTACGTTATCATGAAAAGTCAAATGCCACAGAGCTGAGACAGAAGAGCACAAGGCACTTCACTGACGCTAATTCTCGCTTTTCATTAGCAGTAGTTCTCAGGCGTTCACTGGTAACAGAGAAAAGCAATATCCTGGGACAGAGGATGGGCACCCAAGAAGCCTACCTGGCCCCTCTGGGCATTAAAGCAAAGGGTTCTTTTTGTCCCAGATGTTCTATTCTGTTCATCATGTGACATTTTAGGTGGCCGTTTGTAACTTCCTCACACATTAGAGGAAAGCTTTTTTAAACAAACAGAACAATTGTTAGGTGCAGTCAAACGAAAAAATATATACGTAAGTGCATGGACCCAAACTCTGCAATTAAACTTGAAAGAACTCACCACAGTTCAGAGCTGTCTGGCCACCCATGCCTAGAATTAACCCATCTGGCCGCTCCGCCTTGATGACCTCTGTCACAAACTGAGGGGTGATGGGGAGGAAGTAGACAGAATCTGCTTGTTTTAAGCCCACCTCGTTGGTCTGTACTGACGCAATGTTTGGGTTCATCAGGACAGTTCTCACATTTTCTTCCTGAAACAAGAGGATCCAGAATTTGAAAACATGGTCTAAAGAAGAGAATTACCACCTTCCAATAAAGTGTGTTATTAGGTAATGAATCGATCAGGTAATGGATTAGGGAATGAATGGATTAGGGAATGAATGGAAGTCAGAAGGAAACGAACATTTGGTGACAGGAAGGAAGAAATTGAGAGAAAAATAAAACTATCTGAAAAGAACTGCCTCCCTCATAAGGATCATCCTGAATTCCTTGCCACTGAAGGTATCAAGCAAAACTGGAAATGATTTCTATAGAATTTGACTAGACACCCACAAATACAGCAGGTCCTCAAATAAGGTCTTTTTGTTTAAGTCGTTTTGGTATGACATTAACGAGAAAACAAGATTAATCCCTGGCTGGGCCACTGTCTGCATGGAGTTAGCGAGTTCTCCCCAAGTCTGCCTGGGTTCGCTTGGGGTGCTCGGGGTTCCCCCAAGTCCCAAAGACGCAGCGAGGTGAACTGGCCTATCTAGATGAGCCCAGGTTTAAGACTACGTGTGGATGTGAGTGCACACTGCGGTGGAGGGGCGTCCTGTCCTGGCTGGGGCCTGCCCGCACCCTGAGCTGCGGAGAGGGGCTCCAGCCACGCAGGACCCTGAAGCAGAGCAAGGGCACTGGAAAATAATCATCTTCCTTCTTTCTTAAATGTCTGTATCACTTGCATTTATTTCAGTGCTTAATACTAGAAGTATTTAGGGTCTTCATTTATAAGTTTGGTGATGATGTTTGTGACCAGAAAAATGCCATAGTAACTTAACTCTTGCTTATATCAATTAGCCTATGGTAAAATTGGTTTCGTTATACGTTGTATCACTTAAAGCCACATCGACATTAAGTGAGTGCTACTGAACTTTACAGCTCAATCGACCTTAAAAGAACACAATATTCCAAAAATTTTTAATGAGTAAACTATAAAATGGAACTGGAGGCAACATTAAAGCTGCTTCCCTTTCTAATGTTTTTCTGAGAACACCATTGAGTGCACATTTAAAATGCACGGTAATGTGTTGCCTTCTTGCTAGAAGCACTGAGAGCCTTCTGCTGGTTTCTATTTTCTTTAGATTTTCATGCCTGCTGTAGTGCTTCAACAAAGAGCATTATACAACTGTTTATACATATTATAGAAAAAGAAAATGACCATATGGCAAAATAAAATAAAAATTTATGTGTGTGTATGTGTGTCTATGAAGGTATTCATAGCCTATCTCATTCCTGACATCTGGAGAGACCACCAAAATAATTCTTCATGTAGGCTACTAAGAATAATAGCTTTATAAACCAGGATGAGGGTGAAACTTAGCAAAAGTAACGATTATAAAATATGGCCAGATGGTTCTTATTATTTTACCTATTAGCATGTCAATTCTGAACTCTTCTAAAAAGTCAACAAAATATTCAGCTGAAAGTATAGAAATCATCTTTGAAAGCCCTCCATATCCTTGGGGAAATACCTAATGAAAAATTAAATATATTTCATACTATTTTAAATTCAAATAGTGCCTTAAAACTTGTAATGTACTTTTTTATTAACTTATTTGATTTTTATACCAAGACTAATAGAGAAATTTCTGCCTTACAGAGAGAAAAAAAAGCGAGATTCAATAGTAAAAGAACTTGCCACAGATCATATAGCTGGTAAGAGCCAAAATTAAAACTCTAATTCAAGTCTTATGATTCAAGTCCTATGCCCTTCTTCAATAAGAGTCATCTCTCAAAACTTTAAGGAATTGTTTTTAAAAGAGTATTAGGTGTATTAGCAAAATATTAAATAAATACATATAGATAAGCAATTGCATTTAAAATATGGGTTGGAATTTAAATAATTGGGTCTAAACTGAGAATACACCATAAACAAATTTGTAGAAGGCCTTGCTACTATAAAAAAGTACCAACAGACCTAAATATATTTGTATTTTCTTGAATGGGCTATACAATGAATATATGGAAATAAAATTATATAGAAAAGGTCTCATATGTGCATGTGATGGGTGTTCATTCACTTTAAAACTTAAGAATAATTTCAAACAATTTTAATAAATTTTACATCATTTTTTTTCTAATATAGTTCTGGCTACAATACATGCACAATCTAATTCTTTTAAAATATTTGCTTCATAAATTCATCTAAGTTAACCTCCTAATTAATCACAATACTATATCTAATAATTCCTATTCTTCAGTTAAAATATATAACTTCATGTAATGGATGTTAAAGCACATAAAAAGTACAGGCTATAAAAATATTAATTCTTCATAAAACTACCAAATAGGCTTAAAAAATGTCTGCTGGTAAAATGTATTCTAAACCCAAACCACAGTTAGATTGTGTTCTAATCAGTCTAACATCCACTTGGGAGTCAGTCTTGGACATCCACTCTCTATCTGAAGATCAACTGAATCATAATGCAATGAAGTGAAGTGGGTTTTGAAATTGTCCATGAAAAACATGTGTGTAAGTATGAACACCCATGTGTGTATGGAGAAGCGTATTAAAAACAAATGGGGGGCAGATTAAGATAATTAGGGGCTATGTTCCACATTTTTTCATCAGGCATCTGTCAAGTAAAAATTTTTGTGCATAGAATACTAAATAAAACAAAAAGGAAAGGAAAAAAGATACAACTATTTCCTATGTTTGCTGCTTCAGTCTCCTGCCACCTTCCCTCTGTCCCCTCCTGGCCAGGTCTCTGGCAAATGGCTTCATCCTGCAAAGCCTAAGGCAAGGTCACAGAGAGCTCACAGTGCCTCTGGATGGCCTGATTAGCACAAAATGGGACCATCCAGGGAGACAAGGACACCGAAGGGAGGCCAAGTTAGCTCTTTAATAGAAATACCTGTACAATGCACAGTGTAATTTTTCTAAAGGTTTATGTACTATGGTAAGAGTTGGGGAAATCTCAAGGGGCTTTGAAGAAATAGGGAGGATGTTCTTCCCAACTTGGGTACCAGATCCTCTTTTCCACTTGAAAATGCAAACCAGCCATCCTGGTAGGTCATCCATTCCAAGTCACAGTTGGGGAAATTGTGTCCCCTAGTGACAGGTAATAACTTCTAGAGGTTGAACAAAAGTCATTGTTGCCTTTGCTTCCCCAACTGGATCTTCCCATTCAACCACGGAGATGCCTAAAGCATCCTATTGAAGTACTTTAGAGCACCAAGGATGATGAAGTTCACTCTTTCACACAAATGACAAAAGTTCACTGCCTCCAAAGGAACGAGAAACATCTGTAAGTGTGGCTTTATATGTTTTCATTGTAAATAGGTGATAATGTAGATAATTTTGAAGACAAATATAAACTTAATTTGCAGGTGTGCACATTGGAGAAAGTTAAAAATCTTGTCTGTGATGAAACTTCCTTTAATATAAGATGCGTAAGGAATAGTTAGGAAAATTAATTATAGTGACTTTGAAAAGAGGTAGTGTCACATAAATCTAAATTATACAATACTAATTAGACTTATTAAAGGGAGTATATTAATTCTAGCAAAGACCATATTCTCTCACCTTCATGGCTTTTACAGCTTGTGAGCCTGAGTAATCAAATTCACCGGCCTGGCCAATGGACAGACCTCCCGATCCCAGGATAAGGACTTTGGAAACCTGTAAGCAATAAAAAAAATGCATTGTTTTTACAATTAAGATGAGGAACTAAGGCTTTTTCAAAAGTGGAGAAGACTATAATGTCTGGGTTAGGTAGTAATTTAAAGCTCGGCTTGAAAATATATAGTATATGAGTCAAAAGACTCACAATTTAGACATCTCTAATTTCAAAGCAATTTTCAAAGATCATGAAGTTTCTATGACTGAAGTGAAAAAATTTTGGAAGAGGTCTACATTTTATTTAAACATATATAATTATCTAAAAATGACCACATAAGTATATTTGCATAAATATATACATCTCTATGTGTGTATATATATGTATATTTTTTAGATAAGAATCTCCCAAGATTTAATTGACTAAGTGTATTGCATTCAATATTTCATGGGTTTCTTTGAAACAAAGGATTGGCAAAAAACAAAGAACCTTCCAAAACTGATGAAAACACAGGAGGCGAGGGGACATGGGGACACCTTCATGTTTATATTTCACCTTTACAGTTCAGTGCCAGAAATATTTACGGAAAATATAACAAGAAAATGATCATGTCTTGGCAACATATTCATACAAATTGCATATGTGATTTCAAGCAAATAATAATACTGCCTATTTTTTAGCCACAACTGCCAAGCTCTTCAAAGGACAAAATGTTTTTGTTTACTGTAAGAGACAAGGGTTTGGGAAACTTGGTTTGCTTCAAGAAATATTTATTGGGCATCTAGTATATGCAAGTCACTGTGGAATCCTAAATTACACCTTTCCTTCACCACTAAAAAAATAAAATAAAAGCATGTGAAGACCGTAAGTTGATATTCTGAGAAAAATGCTACAGAGTGCATGGCATCTTTCGCTACCAAGAACCCACAGTTTGACTCTACACTGAGTGACTGGATTGTCTCCAATCTTTTCATCTCATCATCAGGAAAAAAGGTTGTTATAGAAATCCTTAAGCCACATAATTCAATTTATTTCATATAAACATATAAATCAATTCTTTTTGTTCATAAACTATATACATATATACCCCTCTAAATTTTGTATAATAATGATGTAAGAATGAGTGTGTGTGTGGTTTAACTATGAAAGAAATGGGTAGAGATCTTATATTAACATACACATTCAAAAGGTAAGGATTCAAGTCTTATGATATGTTCATTCTTACCCATTTGCTCTTTAGAGGTAAATAATATTATTAATTCATGATGTTGAATAATAATCTTTTTTTAAAAAATTTGTCACCTATTCTGTAGTCTGAACTGTGTTATCTCCAGCATATGGTTTATTGAGTAATGGAAAATATATCAAATTCTAAACTAAATTAAAGCCTATTTTTACTACATTATTTTATTACAAACATCCTAGAAGAATTAAACTTTAAAAGATATGACTTTAAATCTGAACATGAAAATTCCAATGAACATTATCAAGAACGGGCCAAATAATTTAGATGCTAAAATGATGAGAGATTACAATAGTACCAATCATCTTTCATAAACATTAAAACAGTTTACATATTAACTTAAAAATACATCATTCCATGATAGAGAAAATCTGAAATACATAAACCAAAGAGAAGCCCACATATGCTGACCTCAATTCTAGATGCAACCAGGGCTGGCTTTGGTAGAACCGATGTAACGGTGGTTCCTTTCCCCTTCTTTATCAGCGAGAAAAAGGAATCGAACAGATACTAGAAAAAATGTAAACAACTAGTTAGAAGCTTTAAAACTTGTAAGGCTGCCAGGTAAAATACAGTATGCCCAGTTAAATTTGAACTTTAGATAGACAATTTTTAAGATAAGTATTTCTATGCAATATTTGTTTTTTATTTGTTTGCTTGTTTGTTTTTTGCCAATTCTGGCAAAACTAACTAAATATTTATTACTATAAGAATTAGATCAAATAAACACTTCTAACTGCTTATGTGAAATCCTATCAAAAGAAGGTTGTCAGCAGACAATGAACACTTCAGATAATGCCTCTGAGAGTATCAAGTTTTCAGCCTCCTAATTATGAACCATTTTCTTCCTCTAAGTAAAATTCTGGATATAAAAAAAAAACACAACTGAAGCTATATTACTTACGCATCCTAAAGTTAGAAATAACTGGATTTTAAAATTTTCTATCAGCTCTAAAAAATCTCTAAAGATTATTCTTAAACTTTACCAATAAATTTACTTCTGTTTTACAGACATAACAAATTCCAACAAAAATATTCATTTTGCAATGAAACTATTTGGGAGAATAAAAGAATTAAGTGATACTGGATATTGCATATCTTAATTTCAATGTTCCTCATCTGAAGTACTCACATAGGCAAATAATTTATATTTTAAATTTTTAAAAAAGTATTTATCGTGCATTAGACAACATATGTGTGTAACTAATTTTTATTTATGCATTTCATTGTGGGTAAGTAGTGCTATATTGCCTTTGGCCATTAAGAACCATTATTTCTTAATAATAATGAAACAAGAAAAAAACACAAATCTGAAAAAGCAATTCAGAGATGAGCTAGTGGAGTTTACAGACAGAAAAATTGTATCTCCTCATTTTGCCTGGGTGTCTTTTCTGAGAGTATCTGCTGACAAGGAAGAATTGTCAGCATTACTACTGAAGGCCTTGGGGTGTGAGAGATGAAGAGTCTTTTCCCAGACTCTTCTGAGTATCACTGCAAGCTCTTGTTTTGCAAAGATGTCCTTGAACATTGAACCAAAAGCTCACACAATAAAAGTAGAAATATTTAAATTACAAACAAAACTTCTCTAAGAATTCCTTATGGTTCTTTCTTAAGCCATCCTACTCCTACGTGGGTGCATGCCCTCTCCCCTACCTCACACTCCTGCCCTCCTTCCTTCCTCTGCTGTTTACTATCCCTACATGGCTACACAACCAGTTGCCATAGAGATTTTGTGAAGTCACAGATGGGGGATTAAAATTTCATTTCAGTTATGAGACTGAGAGAGCAAGGGGGAATTCATTTGCATAGGACAACAATTGTAAATTTTAGAGCTAAATATATTAGAATGATAATGATTTAAATAAAAATGGCATTGCATCAAGTTTTTTAAGGGCTTCCCTACTTTGAATTTTTAAAAAAAGACAGGCATTTCCTCCACGATATCCATGGGGAAATTTTCATGCAATCAGTGTATTATCACAGCACCCTTCTTGAGAATGTTCCGTAACAAGATCATCGAGGGTGATTATTTTGGTTTCTTGAGTTTTCACATAAATACATTTCTAATTTTAAAAATTAAGCCTATAACAGGCCTCATCTTTCTGACATACCTCAGTGTCCGTTGGCCCCGGGCTGACCTCTGGGTGGAACTGCACTCCGAAAAAGGGTTTGCTTTCATGCATAATCCCCTAAGGAACAAGAAGTGGGAGAGATGCCTCTGTAACAACAAATGTCAACCAGGGCTGTGTATTATTCAAATTACAAGACTGAGTTAACTGCTTAAGAATATTTGAAAAACTAACAGTACTAGTAAAAGTAAGCCAACAAAGACTCAACTGAATGTGGTTTCCTTAATAAAAAACCCTATTTTGACTTATAGCTTTTGGGGGTCCCCAAAGCCCATTCAGCATACACCCAAATCATCTTCTTATCTCCATCTCTTAAGTTGCTTCTCCAGGGGTCTTCTCAAAGGCTACCTCAAGTGCTTAACCCCAGAGACACACCCAGAGTGGTTGCAAACAGATCTCCATCAATCCCCCACTAACAACGGAAGTGCAAAACAGTCATTGAATAACCACTCAAAGAATGGATCTTAATGAGTCAACTGATGAGAAAACAGGACAGAGAGAAATGACTTTTTAAAGTGCAGAGGTCTATGGGAAATAACCAATAAATAGAGTTCTTCCACACATACGCCCTAAATAGCCCACATAAATGAAAGAAAGGTGTCGCTATAACAGTATTAAAAGCCCTGCACTTCTCGTGACCAACTAAACAGGTTGCTTGAGGGCACTGACCTCATTGGTTTGATCGTTGACATTCACAAAAAGTGGCTTCCAGCCAGCAGGAAGGGTGTTTTCCAGGGCATAGCCATGATTCTGAGCCGTAATGAAGGCCTGTCTGTTTGTCACATTCAAAACAGGCTGATTCTGCCCTCTGGAGAAAACAGGAAGAAAGAACAGGAAAAGTGAGGAGAAGATAAATGCATGTGCTGTAAAATAGTGAAGAAGAAAAGACTATCACAATTCGAAAGTTCCAATTGCTTAGTGAGAATTACTCTTTGAGAAAAGTCACAGATTGTTAATCCCAATAATTTTAGCAACGAAAATCAATTCGGGAGGCTTCGTTGTGTGTTAAATATCAGGTCTATTAAACTTCTATAATCAGTTTTGGAAAGGGGGGAATTGCACTCGTAACAAAAAGTTAAGAGTTGCCAGCTTAACAGAGACGGACAAATATAAGCGACTTATTTTAAGGGGGCCACAGTAATTTTAAAGCCAGATGAGAGTTCATGGGAGATAGTAAAGTCCTGAATCAATCTGAATTATACTTTCTGTGGAAGGTGGTCTGTGTGGAAAAGCTCCATGTTCAATAAATTAACATCATTTGCGGTGAGAAAGTAAAACCTAGAGGATCTGAAGATTTCTTGGTTCTTAAGTCACCCAGCCTTACAACGTTATCAGTGCCCTGAAATGAAGTTTAAAATCAGAACAATTTCCCTTAGAATGTTATTTGATTGAGTATTATAACCTCAATTTATGCCAAGGGAAGGAAAATAACTTTCAACTACAGCAAAGTTATTGTTAGAAAAAGCTGCCTTTCACAAATGCAATGGAAGTGGTATCAGGTAGTCAGACGACTGTGAACCATGTAACAGTATGGTTATCAATTTATTCCGAAGAAAGTGGCATGTAAGTTCTCTAAGTCTTTTGGATTTAGTTACTAATAGTATTTCAGAGCTAGGCTGACCTGTAAACAAAAGGCTAACTGCTTTACCTGTTGGCCATGGGCATCTTGTAGGACTTGGCGCCAGCAGCTAATCCTATTATTAAATTTCCTGTGCTGATTCCAAACAATGGCTCCTTGCGATCACTCTCCAAAACCTAAGTCAGGGAGAATTTTTATTAACCCAGAAGTACAGTTTCAAAGAGTGTCTATCAAGGAATAAAAATGAAATGTCCTTTTTTTCTTTAATAAACAAGGTAGAGAGAATAGTAATTGAATAAAAAGTTAGATTATAATTAAGAACATGATTGACAAATGTATAGCATTAGAATTCAATAAAATGTACTTAACATACAGACTAAAAGAAATCAAATTTAATATTCCTTTAGAAACCTGAGAATATTATAGGTCCCAAGATCATGGTGAGGAATATGAATTGTCATTTCATAATTGTAAGGAATGACACATTTGGAGATCAGACTCCAGCTCTCTGAACTTGAGGACAAACCCCAGTTACTTTGCCTAAAGAATGGCTCTTTTTCCTCCTTGGTTCCCCCTAATACATATCTGTGCTGACATTACCTCTGAGGTCACAAATAGGGGTAATAAAAAGTTCCCAAATAAGTAAAATATATAACAGCTGAAAGCAGTAACAGCCCAGACTCCCTCCACTTCACACAGATACATGCTACCCCCCAGGCTCACTGCACCTTTTTCACATTCTGAATTAGTGGTTGTGCAAGAGCTGGGTTCCCAGGTCCTCCGGCGATTAACAGCCCATCATACTCCATCTTGGAGAAATCATGATTCCAGGGGACCAAATGCACTTCAGCTCCTCGCTGAAAAGGAAACACAGAAGGATCAGAATTTGATAACATTTTTCTTTGCCGAAGCGGAATTTCGCTAGACCTTCTCTTGACAAACCACTCCCTGAAGGGAAAGGGAAATAGCATGTGACTCAAATATATAAAGCTGAGAAGAAAATTCTTTGGTGGCTCACTGTGCTTTGTATGATGTAAGTGGAGCCAATGGACAACCACACACAAAAAGTGAAGGAAAAAACACTATTAAAGATTCGATCCTGAAAAAACAGATAAAACACTTTCCCACACTTTAGAAGTTTTCGGAGCCTAAAGGCTTCATGCCTGGGCACACAGGAATGCGGGTCATCTTATCTAGAACTGTGGGAGAAAGAGTCGCAAAAAATGGTAAATCGGTTTTCTGCAGAACTGAAGTTGGCCCACCTTTCACCTTTTTCAATTTTGCCCTTTTGTCTGATCAAATTTTAATCAGCCTTCTTTCCTAGGGTTTTCTCATATTACCTGCAATATTTATATTCTGATTAAAAAATTCAAACTTTTCTATATAAGTATATATAAGAAGATATCTTTGATAGTTTCCTAGAAGCATTTCCTGAGACAAGGATTTGAGAAAAAGAAGTGACTCTTGAAGCATTTCCAAGAAATACCAAAGAGAAAGTGACACGGTGAGGCACCCCAGTAAGGTATGCATTATCAGGCAGTTACCACACAGACAACCTGAGCTTCAGCCCACCGAGGAACTCTGAGGGCCAACATAGCGTATCCACCTCAAAGACAGCCCAGCCATAGGCAAAGGAGCTGCGATGTTTACACAAAGATCCTCTCTAGTCACTGGTCGGGGCTGCAGCAGGGATCATTCATTCTATGGCATTTCCTCCATGCCAGCAGGCTCCAGCCAACCAAAGGCGGCCCTCGGGCAATGCAATGCAGACACTTGCGATTGGAAGCCAGGCAAATTGCCATAAAATGGTGACACAAGAGGGAGATGTGGAGAGGCCATCCACAGCATCTGCTACTGAAGAGACCCTGAACATTTTTGTTACTAAACTTGGCCAGAATTCGAAATCATGATTTGGATATTTCTGATATTCTCTAACAAAGAACTGAAAAATTCCCCTATACTCAAGCTATTTAATATTATGCAAGTGTGTGTGTGTGTGTGTGTGTGTGTGTGTGTGTGTGTGTGTGTGTGAAAGAGAGAGAGAGAGAGAGAGAGAGAGAGAAACAGAGACAGAGACTTACACGGAGAAGCAGAAACAGAGAATGGGAGAGGAAGGCAGAGAACAAATTCCAACAAAAACAATTATTTAAGAAAACACTGTAATAATGGTTCAGTTCTCCTTAAGGGTTTTTGAGGTTTAATATTAATGGTTGTTCAAGAGTTGATATAAAGCAGAGTGAACATTTGCATGTATCAGGGCACAAATTGTGCAAACATGTGGTACATAATAAATATAGCCCACAGGAGTTTTCCAACTGACCCTATTTTTTTGACTCTCTAAACCCCAAGAATGTGAATGTGGCATGTCTCAGAAGGTCAGTCAATAAGTGATAAGAACAGTCATCATTTTCTTCTCTGTTTCTGTGTCCTCCAAGGTCTTTTTTTTAAAAAATATATCTTTATTGATCTCAGAGAGAGGAAAGGAGAGGGAGAGAGAGAGATAGAAACATCAATAATGAGAGAGTCATTGATCGGCTGCCTCCTGCACTGGGGATCGAGCCCGCAATCCGGGCATGTGCCCTGACTGGGAATCAAACCCTGATCGCTGGGATCCTAGGTCGACACCCAACCGCTGAGCCACACCCAGCCAGGCTCCGAGTTCTTTTTTAAAACATAGTCCACATCTCTAATTTTAACAGGGATAAAATGTGTCATTTTGTTGATCAGAGGCAACAAGAAGAGAGCAGATGCCCTGACGCTCTGAGAGAATGCACAGGTTTTCTCTGAAAGAGATAGAGGAAATCAGCTTAACACTAAACAATCAATATTACAAATCTTCCCCCTTGGGATGGGATGATTGACTTACCTTGACTAGTAGGCGGATTACATTGTTTTTTATCCCACAGTCTACAGCTACCACTTTCGTGGGGTTTCCTTTGCCGAACACCTTGACATCCTGTCATTTTAAAAACCAAAGAGTGAGAGGGAAGTTCCAGCCATGAGCAGCACATCAATATCATAAGCATATCTCAGGACGCTTTGCACTTAAATTGGTGGCAGATTGATTACTAACTATTTGGGAGTGACTGGCAGTTAATCAATCTGCAACTAATGCAAGCAAGTGCCATGATCTGTATCTTTTTTATGAGAAAAAATACTTTGTTATTATATATAAGATACTGATGCCCATAATAATAATGATCCCTAAGAAATTGGCTGCTTCCACAGTTAACAACCATCTTTCCCATGTTTTGCTAACTAACAAACAATAGCAATAAAATTTTTAAGTATTATTGCCTAATTCAGCACTAGACAGATGTGGTAATAGGTATATATCATGCTTTAAATACCACTTGATCCTCAACTTGCAATAAAGTGTGGGTGAGGTAGAGCATTAGGCTTATGCAATGGGGTGGATGGATAAAATCAGTATGGGAGTCAGAGGATTTGCTGAGCTAGTGCAGACCACCGGTCCCTCTAGGTTACTATGCAATCATTTGCATTTAAATGGTAGACTTCATAAAAGGATCCCAGAGCATATCATAATCATTACCTATGTCTTAAGCACTGCTTGCAGTCAGATCCATTTGCACAGGCATTTACCCAAGAAGTAGTTCCCCAAAGTCATAAAAGGAAAAATAGTAGGAATATAGGGAGAGACTCCCAGAGGGCTGGAGGCCCACAGTGACCCCATCTTGAGAGCTAGCGAGCACATTCTGAATTTAGGATAATGCAAAGTTTGCAAAAGGTTTTAGATGAAAGTTGCAATCTGGATATTTGAAAAAGCATTTTACTTTCACTGAAATGTCTATCTCTCCACAAAGTCCATGGAATGTGAAATCATAATCTCTAGACTGTACTTAAGAAAAAAATTTTAAAGTTTATATTTTTTTGTCCTGCTTACTATTCTAGAGAAAAAAAATACCCCAGCCCTTCTGTTATTTGGGGGAATTATTGCTGAACTGATCCATAAATGCTACATGTATCTCTCTTGTCAGATAATTTAAAACAGTATAGATTTATTCTTAACCTTAGGCTTCTGCTACAAAACAAAGCAATATTACCATCTAGTTATAGCTTCATCAAATTGCAATTACAAGACAATGAATTAAGTTATCAACCATACTCCAACAAAATTCATAGAATAAATATAATCGGATACAAATATACATCTTATCACAGGTAAAATGAAAGTATTTAATTGCTCTGGCATTAAGAAGCAGAGCCAGCTTTCACCATTGCAATCTCTCCCTGGATTTAATATAGATAAAAATACAGATAGGCTCCTTTTTGCTGATCTCTACTCTAACACATTATATACTCTCATACAGAATGATAGAAGTTAAGCAAGACCTCACAGACATGCAAATACAAATACGGATTTGCACTAGGACTCTCCAAGAGAGGAGTGTATTATGCAGTGTTTTTCAACCTTATTTGACCATAGAATTTTTTTAAGGTGAATATCTCCAGGCTCAATGTGCCTCACATTTGGAAAATGCTAGACTAGATGCCCAACGTAGTTCTCAATTCTAAAATTCTATCATTCTAGAAGGAAAAATAGACCTGTCTTGTGATGTGTCTCAAACTAAATCAATTCACATGGAAATGTGTACAAATACTTTAAGTGCACTGATTTGTAATATATATATTTTAGTTGCTTTAAGACACTTTTCTCCCTCAACTCCAGTTGCTTCTAAAAGACGACTTTGGCCTAAAGGAAGGTTTTGATATTACAAGAAAGGGAAGGTCTAAAGGGAATGAAACAAAACTACAAAACCTGAAGAAAAATTGCTCACCTTGGTTGAAACCTCAGCAATCAAATTCTGCTTATTTGGATCCTCGAAATTCACAGACTGACCTTCAAATTCAATCTTCCCAAGCGTGGTGCCCTATCAAATTAAAAAATTAGACAGTTAAAAGGGAGCAATGATGAAGGTGCTGACAGGGTCAATTCACAGGGACTTAAACAGCTGCTCTGAGATTTCGATGCTTTTGTAACTACTCATAACCAAAAGCAGAAGCTCTCCATCTCAACCTGGAAAGATAAGGTGATTTGCACAGTACATTTTGAGAGTCACTCTGGGAGGTACAATCAGTTCCTTTAGGGCTGAGACAATTATCTGGGGTAAGCAAAGTCAAAGGCATCAGAATGTGGGTCTCCAGCCTCCAGTATTTAGGATACCTGTTCCTTAGTGCATCTGACCTAAAGATAAGTCATGGGAGACATCGACAAAACAATCTACTGAGAAAAATTAAAAAAGAACTCTAAAAATTCTTAGAAAATTGAAAAGAGTGGGAATTTATTACATTGTGATAATAAAATTAATTCACAAAAAATGTGAAACGCTATATAAGTCATAAATTTTGAGAAGTGGCATTGAAAACAATCACTGCTTTAGACATGCTAATGTCTAGGTGTCCCTAAGAGCCTGAACTTTAAAAAGAGTTTAGCCTTCTGTGAAGTTTTCACAAATTATCCTTGTTAGCTTGAACGTGGCAAATGTTTTCTTCTTATTATTAGTTTTCCTTATTTGTTAGTAAGTCTAATTTGACCTATTTAAAAAAATAGCATATTATCTTTAGTAGGTAAGACTTTATTGGGGGGGGGAGTGTCAAAATAACTCACTGATTTGCCTTTCTCCAAGAAATTATTGCATTGAAGAAAATAGAAGAAAGTCTTTATTTCCTCAAAATTTATTCTTTAGGGGAAAAGGCACTTGGGAGTGAGTGAGGGTAGAAAGTGCCAGCTCACCATTCAGATATGATGGTTATTTGTGTGATTACTAAAATCAGAGTGCTCCCTCAAATTCTGGGGAAAAAATGACTAAAAACACCTTTCACTTTCACACTGGGATATTAATTTCATGACGATCTCCACTTACTTTTAGAATCCAAATCACAGAATCCCTTGCCTGTGTTTATGGATCCTTATTTTGAAATTTGGTTTTCAGCTCTCATTCCCTTCTTCTTAAAGCATGCTGAATGAATTTCAATCTTACTTTCCAACCTAAGATTAATAGACTAAAAGCTATAGTATACATTCTTAATATGAGCCAATACTACACTTTTGTCTGCACTAGCCTATTCAGTCAAATTCTGAAAACCAGCTGCCTCTGATAAAAGTAGGGTTCATCCTAAACTAACACAAAGAACACAGTATGGTCTTGTAAAGTGTTTCCCAAATTAAAAGGCCTCACTATATTTTCTTCAACTTGCCAATTCTACTGCCCAAATTGAACTTCCCAATTTTATTTCCTTTTCATTCTGGTAGCCTCATCATTGCTTACTGCTCCCACAACATTACTGGGCTGAGAAAACACAAGAATCTACTTGGGATATTGAACCACACTAACATCTGTTCTCAGGAAAAATCACGGCAGAGGGAAGACAATCAGAGGTGGAGTGGGAGGGTCACATAAACTCCACTGTCATCCTTCTGGTCACGGGTATGTACCATGTTCTTATTTTCAAAGCTGTTCTTTCTTTCTTTTTACAGAGATTTTGTGTCAATATATTCTAACAAGAAATCTACAACAGATTTTCTTTAAGAATTTCTTGCACTTTGAAACTATCATTTTTTTTTCTTTTTTAGGTAATATAATTCAATGAGACACCTTTAGTGGCATTTGGGGAATTTAGTTAACCTTAGGTAAAGTTTCTGTCTGGTCTGGGATATGAAAGTTTCACGTAGCAGGGGAAAAAAGTGGCCACCTCTTATAACAAGAAATAGCAAGCTGAAGGTGAGGAGATATTCTATCAGGAGGGATCAGGTGTTTCAGCAGTCAGATATAAAAGCAAAAGATAAACATACCTGTTATCACCTTGGGCATTGATTAGTCTCAGGAACGACTGTGTAACTGAGTAACCTGCAGGGCTCATCTGACACTCATGAAATATCACTCACTAATTTCACAGACTGGACAGAAAACAGCACCAATGCTATACGCTTCCTGGTTTGCATTCTCCAGCAGGGAGATGTCCAATTTAGGTAAACTGTTGTGCACCTAGTAACCTTCTCCACTTGTTTCACTGGTCCTGAGCTCAATTATAAAGGCCTTGACTTGCTGGGATCTTGAACACAGAGTAGGCACTCAATAAACTGCTGCTGAGTGAATTAATCTCATGTCCATTCAGTAACAAACACCCCAATCAAGTATCCAGTCTCGAAAATTACATCAGTGATAATAAAACAAGATGACAGAAAACCAAATGGCAGAAAGTGGCCAGATTTGTTCTTTCATATACTAATGTATTCCTCGGGCACTGAGAAAAAATATTTATATATATTTATATGTGAAGAAACATAGATTTGGCTAAAGGTGATGACCATACCTTCTCCCGAATTATCTTAGTCAGCATTCTTGTGTCCACTCCATAAATTGCAGGGATCTATAAAAAAAAAAAAAAAAATGTAGCAACAGTGAAATTGCAGGAAATTAGATCCAGCGTATTGTTTCCAAGTTACAAACTTAGCGTCATCTATCTTCCTGAGCAGTAAATAATTTCCCTATTTCTTCTTTTCTCTGACCCAGGGTGACTGTTGTCAGAACACGGTAAATTGCTGTTCCAGTTGGGCACAGGACTCCTATACCCAGGCACCTCCTCAGAATAAAAAATGGGAAATTCTGAACATCAATCTTCTGCTACAGTTCTGTTGCTTTTAGCACAAGATGTTAAATAATATTATATATATGTATATATACACACATATATATAGCTTGAAATCATGAAGTTTGTAGACTTTATTATCAATGATATGTAAATAATATGCAAAGCAATGTATTGAGCCAAATATTCCTGGCTCATAGTAGGCACTCAACACATTTTTCTGAAGGTACTTGTTCAGTGGTCATGCTATAATAAAATTTCCTCATCTTTTTAATAAACCAGACAACTCTACCCTTGTTTTATTTTCTTTGACTAGGCTGGGTAGAGACAGATGTGGTATAATGAAAGAGCAATGAGTCAGGAATCAGGAAAAGCAGTTGTAATGTCTTTTTTCCCACCAATTATCTGAGTGATGTTTGAGCAAGCTGGTTTTTCTCATCCATACCTCAAAGAGGCAAATTGGTTTTTATCTTATACCCTCCTTTATTCTATGTGTCTGTGATCACGGAAGAAGAGCCAAAACACATTTACACAACAAACTAACAAGCCATGGATGAAGCTTCTATTTAAACTAGAAGCTCTGACACAGAGCAGCTATAATATCGGGGGCCCTAAATAATACAAAGGAAACATTAAAGGTTGCATGGGGATGGGGGGAGTCTTCTGAATGACCATTACGAAAATTAAATGTCTGGAAGTGAATTCAGATGGTTGAGCAGAAAATAGTAATGACCCTGGGGATGATATTGCCTTCTTCTCTCTTTTAATATTTAGAAAGAATTAGAACAAAGAAGCCAAAATGAAGATTTTTTGATTTCCAGAAGGAAGCAACATTTAGCCCCAATAGGTAGGTGCCCATTGGAGAGAGGGAGCTTTAGTAGAATAATATTCTGTAAATTACAGGCCCAGCAGCAACTCCGCAAAAAGCAACTATAGCAACACTGAAGATGAAGCTAAATATATAGCAGGTCCATTAACTTCAAGTATGTCTGACATTCCAATCAGAAGAATCTTCTTATTTGATTAAAAAATAATAGTTAAAATAAGGAAATATAAGGTTTATATACTTTCTATTTATAACTTCAAATGAGATTATAGCTAATTCTATAATGTGTAAGCCCAAAGAAATTCAATGGCAATCTGTTTATACTCATTAAGAATTAAAAATTTTTAAAAAAAGGATGGTATGATAATCTACCCTGCACAAAGTCACACAGCTAGTTAATGGTAGAGCTGGTACTAGAACCCATGAAAAAAGTGGCATATCTGAGTCCTGGATAAAAGGGGAGGGAGAAGTTAAGTTGCTTGAGAGAACAGAAAATTCTAAACTTTTCTCTAACCCCTTTCCAGGATTAGGAATGCAACCAAGCAGGTCTGACCGCCACCTAGTGGATGGACTGAAAATATGTGGTCCTACACGTTCAGAAGAGAATGCGTTCAGACAGTTCAACCTGTGCAGTAAGAGAAAGGAACTGCTTTCTGAAATAAAAAAGATTCCAAACCGCAAGGTCTGCCTCATCCGTTTGGCCCTCCCCAACTTGCCACAGACCCGCCCGCCGTCCTTAGGGGATGCGGGCGCCCTGCCATACTTCTCACCTTTTCCTCCTGCAGCCATTGCCCTAGGCTCTTGGTGGCCAGCCAGTGGTTGTAGTCGTTACTGTAATTCAGCACCAGCAGACCCGCAACCTAGGAAGACAAGCAGCCATTTAAAGGGATGATCACAAAACATTATCCAACTCTTGTAACATGTCTTAAGAGTCTGTTTGCTTTTATTGTCAGAGCTTTATTGCATCCATCGATACAAGGCTTAAATTTTTGGATAGGAAGGGGAAAACATGGCCAACACTTTACTTTTAAAATACATGTGTTATCTTAATTATCTATCATGTGAGGGAACAGTTTTGCCTGTTTTGCCAAATTCTGAGACTAATCTAGATCTCCCTTCCTGACATCCCTATATTTTTCTTCAATGGCATTTATAAGTAATCTAATTAATAATTACTTATTTAACGTACATGAAAAGTGAAATAATTTCTAATCTATATTTAAAGGTGAATGAGAAATTTGGGAGAAACAGAGCTTAAGTAAATGATCAGGCCACGTCATTCAAAAATAGAATGGTGAAAAAAATAGAGTGGTAACTTCGGTGTGTAAATTTTTGAGTTCTTTGTATGGTCCACATACCTAAGATATTATCCAAATTTACTGTGAATAGGAAGTTTTAATTTGTTTACTTTTTGACTGGTATATAAGCTATCTTATATTCATCTCCCAAAGAGGGTAAGATGAAAAGGCAAATAGTTAATACAGAGTTGATTATCAAAATCATTTTAAAAGGTGATTCATCACCAATCCTTGTAGCATCATTATTATTATCTGGACTTATAACAATATTTTTCCAGATAAAGCTGAATTTCATGCAAGGCATTAAAGAACAAATTCCAAGTGCTCTGGGAAATAAAACTCAAGGTAATGTCATGTTAAAGCTTATTCTCATATATCCAAAATGAGGCTGAGAACATGAATTTAATAGTTTGTACTATGATACTGAGGGAGACACTTTACCCAACCTAGACTCTGAAAGTAAATCAACCAAACCCCTTCAAGTTGTGACTTTAAATAGTCATCAGTGGTACTACCTTAATTCCATCAGACTCCATGTATTTGCTAAGTCCCATTTCATCCAGTGCAATAGTGTCAGGGGCTCCACCGTTCCCAATAATAGGATTGACCATGGTCAGAATCTGCCCCTTGTAGGCAGGGTCAGTAATAGCTTCTGGATACCTGAGTAAAGATGCCAAGATATTACCAACAACAACAAAAATGTATATCCCAATGCCTTAATCACCGAACCCTTGAAAATTACAGAACATGACATTAAAATCCTACAAAACCTGTCTCTAGATTTTAGCAAACCAAGGGAAATTTCATGATAGAATATGGAAATTTATTTCATTTGACTGATAGGAAAAGAAAAACTGACTCTTATGTAGTAAGGCATATTCTCATAGAATTTTCAGTCCCTCAATTTCTTAAATTTTTTAAGCCCTTAGAAAGTTTCTATAGGGCCTTAATTTTTAAAATATTGCTCTAAAGTTTGCAGATATCCTAAAAACTCCCTTAGCCTACCAGACATGAGTGGGCCCAAACTGATATTTACTGTTGAGGGCTACCAGCTTCACCAAAATATTAACTGTGAAAAATTAAGTTGTTTTTTTAATGCCTTCTGGGATACTGAAGAGTATCCTGAGTATGGCAGTGGTGGCTGCATGGGCGCATAGGTTTATTAAAACGCACTGAACGTTTAAAACACAGAATTCATTTCTATGAAATATATATTTAGCATAGTTAACTTTTTAAATAGTTTTGTTTTAGAAAGAGGTATATGTTTGAGAATTATTATCAACTCAGAAGAAAAAAAAATCAATCCCACAAAAATTGACCTGAAGCATTTCTGAGTTCTGAATGAAAAGATCCAAATAACCATTTTCAAGTACTGATAAGGAATCAGGGAGCAATGCAAGAGGGCTTTATTTTAAAGTTTGGAGAAGGGAAAAATAAGAATACTTGCATTCTCATTACATATATATTTATATATCTTATTCTTAATAATAAGCAACCTCACTCCCATAAATGCCAGGAGCTACCTATAGCTACTCCAAGTGTTGGAATGCCTTGCAATGAGGTTTTCCTCCCCTCCTACAATCCATTTTCTGCGGAAAGAGTTAAACCACACCTTTCTTGTGGATTACTACTGAAAGTGAATTTAGGTGCTGAGGGGGACTGCATCGACAACCTTGAAACCAATAAAGTTCAGCTCAGGCAGCAGTCAACATAAATCTTCACCCCCCCATCCAGACTCACTCCTCCCAGAACTACCTCTGTCAACAGAACACTTAGTCTTTCAGCTCAGCAACCCCTAAGGTGACTCAAGTGCTGCAACATTTATCTACACCTCCATCTGCTAACTTCTCAGATGCCTCTCACTTGTCAGGAACTGATAACTTTTTAGCCAAGGCTTACACACAATATAAATGCATTTCCTGAAGATGAAAAACAAAATAAAGCCCTTAATTATCAACCATCTCACCGAGTGAGCACACAATGAATGAAAGCAGCATTTCTCAATGACAAATAGGGTTTGTGGACTAAGCTTATAAAGGAGTGCCTTTTTCTACATCAAAAAACATCCTTAATAATTTAATTTTACTACCCTTTCTTCTTTCTCTCTATGAAAGAACTATCTGTTTTCTTTAAACATATGCTTACAATACTCTCCAGTAAATGAATAAATACAGCTTGTCCTGGAGAACTGCAGTGTTGGAAGCAAATTAATCTATCAGGTCCTGTTTGACTTTTGTGATGTGACAAGATTTATTACCCATAATCTATCACACAGAAGAAAACTCTAGTGCCCTCCATCATTCTGATCTATATTAAACAGTTGTTTGTTGGCAGGTATATTAACACGGCTAGTAATTAGTGCTGTCGAAAAGCTTAAATAATTGCCTGGTGAAGCAAAACTTTTCAAACAGGTTTCATACACTGTAATTTAATGTTCTCACCAGTGGAACTATTTAAAAAACCATCTAATATTCTTCATTTCAAACAAAAAGCCAAAAGGTTAGAGAAATGTGCATTAATAATATCATGGAGATTTGGCCAATCAATATCTTCAATATCAGTTAACCCAGTGTCTCCTTGTCTTTATAAGGCTAACCGAATCTCACTAAAGAATTCATCAAATATTTTATAGTTCAGTCTTTTGAATCTCTAATGGAAACCTTTTGAAATCATCCAGTCATTTCTTAAAGACTCATATATTTTTTTAATTCCCAGCTGTAAATAAATGACTGTCTAATCCAGCCCCCTCAGTGTTTATTGGTGGAAACTAGGATTCAGAAAGGTTAAGTGATTTTCTCAATATCACATAATCAGTTATTAGAACTGAGACCAGAACTTCAGCCTCCTGGTTCTTAGATGAACAAATATACGTTGTCTAGGTAAGAACAGCTACAGGATTTCTGTAGCAACTCTTATCCTTGTTGCAGCATGCCTCTTAGCATATCTTAACAATGAAGTTGGGTTTCAATGGATAAATTCTGAAAATATCAGATGTACGCACCTGCTCTCCCATTGATACCTCAAAACAATAAATGTACCTGTTATCTTGCCTTTCTTATTAGAGTGAAAAATTGAATAAAATACCTAAGGACTGTCTTAGCTCCTTAGAGTAGTTCATATTAGATGTGCAGGGTTGATTCTTGACTTCATTGATAAAATAGCACTAGAGTGTGCTGCCCATCCTTTGCCCTGCTCCAATTTTCACGTTAATCAGATCTATACCTCGCCTTGCAGAAGCCATTTGGCAATCTCACATAAACCTGTGTCCTTGCACCCAGTGTTTCCAGAATTAATTTTGTTCCTCCCCCCCCC